TTTAAAACAGGTATGCGAACCTATCGTTTATCGTTCCATCTTTTTCTGTGATAAAAATAGTTCTTAAATTCATATATATTTGAAAAAAAAAAGATTAACCTTTTGACGTTCTGAAAAGATCCAAGTTCTAGCTGACTTTGATGACCTTCAGCATAAAGGGCAATCGTCCCATAGCCAAACATTCAAAAAGGGCACGGTGAACGTATCAGAGTTTTGTTGTTTGAAATATTCCACATGTTTACCGAAATACGTTCGCTAAGATTAATTGATGACTGACTAACCTTACAACCCATATGGAGAGGCGCGATAGTTACAGTTTAAGACATGTTGTATGATGCTGCCTGGTACTGAACTGTAGATCAAAAGAATTCTAGTGTTTTGGAATATACACAAGCCGTAAACTGAAGCAAACTTCCTATTTTACAGCTCTATCTGCAATGCAAATCAACGACCGGCAGTACGAAACCCTTGCAAACTGTGACAGCAAAACCAATTACACATACTTGGCCGCCTAAAACGACAACAACAACATCAACATCAACATCAACAACGACAATAAGGACATCCACCGCGTTTATTCCAGTCCAATATTCAACAACGCCAGGTAACGTTTTTGATGTTTTACTTCCCTCTTTCTTTCTTTATTCATTTCCGTCTTTGTTTTGATAACGACTTTCAATTTTCATCGGAGATTAAGGTTACTATTACTTTTTATGAGTATTGTATGTTTTAATTGGCAGTGACTCAAGAGCTCACTCAATATATTTTACCGTTATTGACTTTTTATATATTACCCATGGAAAGAATCCAATGGATGCAAACACTGCGTTATAAGTTCCTGTTTATTTGAACGGTGTCTTTCTGTCTTTTTTAATCAATTTGTAAAGCACAAAATGTGCATTAAGAAAAATGTTTGTAGGATTTGCACTACATCATTTCAAAATTACATGTGCATGGTATACCGCAATATTGTTGAAAATTATCTGAAAATCGCTTGCTGTTATTTTCAGGTCCACGTTGTCCTCCGGGCTTTGAAAGGTTAAACTCTAGTTGTTATCTGTATAATAACAGTGCGTCAATGACATGGGAAGAAGCAAAACAGTTTTGCGAACAGCAGAGAGGGTATTTAGCAGAAATTGGATCAGAGGCTGAGCAAATGGTTGTCGAGGGTATTCTCCAACGTAATGGTGAGTTCGAGAGTCAATCAACAACTTATAAAATGATATATTTAAACAAGTTCTGAATTTTTTCTTTAGTTTATATGATTGTTAAATTTTCGCTTTATGGAAAGTATTTATACCATTAAATTCCCTTGAGCTTACCCATCAGGGGTCTATGAAGACCCAAATAAATAAATTGAGTTATTACTAAACATTAAAGTAAACATTAAAGTACATATCCTTATTATTTTCATCCTTTAAGATAATCTAGCTCACCTTCAATAATTGTTACGTGGCTAAATGGGTAGGTGTGATCTCTTCTCACAAAGCTCCTTCAAACGGCACCATTCCAATTACATTTCAAATTTCAATTATTTTAAAAATAAAAAATATATCGTTACATTTTCTCTTTTGGATCTAGCTTGAGACGTCCTCACCAGACGACTTCGCCAGGGTTGGACATGGTAGCTTTCAGAACAGAACTGGAAAGGCGAAATGGTAACTTGGCCTCTCGCTATAAGTAATTACTAGTGTCTATCTCTTATTACGTCTTCCTTGTGTTGCAGGTTCTAAGGTCGACGATGTAATCTGGATGGGAGGACGAAAGGTGAACGGCGTTTTTAAGTGGGTACATAGCGGAAAGGACGTCGAGGATGGTTACACAAATTGGGCTCCACACGAACCGTACTTTGGTGAATACATGTTAGTGTATGGAATCAAATACCGATATCTTGGGCCGTTGTTTAAATGGGCAGATTGTCGCAGTCCTTGCGACAGCAAATCGGATTTCGCATTGTGTGAAAGTGATTTCGAGTAAATAAATTCTCCGGTAGTTCAAAGGGTGTGCTACTGTTGCCGAGGTCCAATTGCATTATTAATTGTTAAATTAAAAGTGTTGTTGGTGTTTTTTTTTAATTTTGATTATAGACTTTGCCAGACATGAGGGGATAAGACATGTCTTCACACGACCAAATTATATAGCGCATTTTATTGACATCATAATCGAACACACAAAATACATACCCGGTCTCACTAGAAACTCTAAAGGAACTGAATGGTGCATATCCTTCCGAAAACTTGCCCAGCTGATGATTTCTTTATAAAAATATACAAATTGGTACTTCATTTAATTTTTGTAAATATCGAGCTTTTTAAAAAAATGCGTCCTTTCCTTCAAACGTCTGGAAGTAAATGAGCAACGCGGTCACGTTGCTGAGGTCACATTTACAGTAAAAACCAAAGAACAAAAAAGGCACAAAAGGTAAAAGAGAAAGAACACAACATACTTCATGATGTACATACAGCAGTTTTCTCCCAGCAGTGAAAACACCGGATGAAACGCATAATAGGGACTTTTTAAAAAAGACTCGAAGACAGCATATCAACTAGTGCATGGGAGGATATACCATATACCAGATAGCAAGGGAAGCGCAAAATGTCACCTGTTAAGTGATATAGATGTGAATACTAGCTGTTCTCGGCGCACCATGTCTCGCGACTGTAAGGTGTCTAGTGACTGGATTATAGCTGTATATACCATGATTAACAACGAACCATGATTAACAACGTTCAGTATTAAACATGCTACTTCTTCCGTTTATTTCATTTGTCTCATTCTTGTTGTCGTCAAATGCAGCTGCTACTTCTGGTGGTGATTTCGAAGTGATGCTTGAGGTATAGAAGTTGAAGGTCTGCAGTTCATGACCATATTAAAATACATTAATGTTTAATTCGTTTCAAAAATATTGAAAAGTAATGTCACACATGGATCCTAGAGAAAGTCAGTTCAAAAGTTTAACAGTTAATCAAGAAATTGATTTTTCCACAAATTTAGTAATTATAAATATTTTTCTGAATTACCAATAACTCTAATACAGGACCAAAAAGAATATTTAGAACAGTCTTCCAATTCCATTTCATTTAGACCAGTCCCTGCTGATTGGCCGTCGCCAATTAGGAACCAGGTATATGGATACGAGCTTGAACTCCAAAACGAATTTTTCCAACATCTAAAGCAGGTGCAGATGACTTATGACTAAGGCAGTGTCCTTATGTTACAATGCAAAACAACGTCGCGCATTAAGGGCAATTTTTTATGGGCATTGCGTCTGCGGCTAATACTGTCGATCTCGCGGTCTAGCAATACACGAAAGTTGAAGTAAAAAATCAAGAGCATTCTCAATCTTTTTTTTTTTTTTTCACGAACAGTTCTTTAATAACGACCTCGTCTGCATCAGATGTAATATATAGGTTCAAAATGTGTGTAAAACTACATTTCAACCTCTTGCTCACTCCAACAGCTCTCCACGCAAGGTATTGAGAAGACCAGAGGAAATGCGTCATTACCATTAAAAGCAGCAAATTCTCCATCGCCTCCAGTAGCAGCAACAACAACAGCAACGACAAGCCGTCGACTACGACGTCGAAACCAAATGTTCCACAACGACTGGTAATTTCATTCTTTTATTCATTCATATTTTGTTTTCTGTAATGATTCAGCCACGCACGCTGAAAACAAAGCGGCAATCAGTGTAGCAAAGCTGCTGTTTCGAAATAGCTGTACCCGATTATACTAGGCATTTTGACCAATGGTCTTAGAAAGTATGACCAGCGTCTTTAATTAGGAATATGTATTTTTTCTGAAAGACCTTCATGTGACATTGTTTGCTTTTAAGCTCCCAGTTGCCCGCCGAATTTTGAAAAGCTCTCCTTTGGTTGCTATATGTATGATAACAGCGCGACAGTGAGTTTGGTATCAGCAAAGCGGTTTTCCGAGAGAGTTGTCGAAGGCATTATCAATCGCAATGGCCAGTTAGGACATTTTAAGCAACAAGTAAAAGAAAATGTTTCTCGCGACATCGTTGACAGCTTTGCAATAAATTGTTTTGGTTGCAGCTTAACATCATAACATATAATTCTGATTATATTCATAAATGATAATTACTCTATTTATGAATTTGTAATTAATCTACCTCTGTCAAAGGGTAAATTTGCTACGTATTGCTTATTAAGAATACATCGAGAAATGGCCTTTAAAGAACCAGTGTTTTTATCCAGACTATTGTATTCTGTGCGGAGATTCCAGAAAAAAGCTGCACTTCAACTGATTTCTCAAGTTTTTTTCGTTACACACTGAATTTTTTTTACCTTACATAAGATACTTTTTCAATTTGATTTGCATTTGTTTATTTAAAAATACATAACTGTCTGTTTTATCTAGTTAGGAACCGTTTTCAATTAAATTCACTTTTGAACAATCCGACTTTTCAGGTGCAAACATTATTATTATTATTATTATTATTATTATTATTATTATTATAGGTTCAAGCAATGACCGGTACGTTTGGTTGGTCGGGCACCTGGTGAACGGCGTACTTCAATGGACCCACAGCGGACGGGCCATAGAACGTGGTTATACATACAGGGTACCAAGACAGCCTGGCAGTGATGCTTACTTGATATTACCCGCATTTCATTATACTAAAACTCCCCTCTTAAATAAATGGGCAGATTTCAATGGCGACAGTGGTGTGAAAGTGGTCCCAAATAAATAGATTCATCAGTGACGTCCAATTAAACATAAATTGAACAGTTGCAATTGACTTTGTGGATTATTATAAATTGCAAATGAATGAATGTATGAATAATAAAAAATAATTTGTTAATAGTTGGACATTGAGAGGATAAAGGTTAACCGCACAAACGAACCGAATATGTATAGAAGTTCAATTGAAAAAGAGAATGGGAAAATCAGTCTTAAATATAGGTAAAATAGATTTATAAATGTATATAATTAATGAATGAAGTAAGTATTTAAAAAAAAAAACAAATATATTTGGATTCTTTCCATTTATTCATATATTCGGATCAACATATTCATTAAACCATGGGAAATTAAAGGCTACTAACTGTTTTAATAGTCGTGCTGTAATAAAGAATGACACATGTTTTTGCTGCTATCTATTTCTTTCTGTTCGTTGTACTCTTTAACTTCTTTATCTGCACGCTCTGGCTCACTGTCAGGTAAGTTGCGTATTATTTGACTATAAAATCATTCCATTAAATTAAAAAATAATATTAATCAATGTTCATTACTATATACACCTCTTTATCAAATAAAATTGGTCCTCGAATTTAACATAACGATATACATCTTTTCCACTGTAACCTTGACATGTATAAAACACAGAGAGTTATGCACATAATAGAAACTAATGGAGAAAGAAATTAACAATATAAAGCAATTATTTCTCAAAACTCATCAAGGGATTTAAAATAAGGACGACTTTGTCATTAACCTTCGTAGCAATTACTTAAACTATGAGCATGCTAATAAGCATAGGCTTCATTAGATAACATTTATAAGAAAAAATAGTGTATATTCAATTTTAGCAATAATAATAATAATAATGTTCAAACTTCAAAGCAACAACAGTTCATATATAATCCGTTCATCTCAGTCCAATACAAAAACATTCATTTGGATTCAATTTTCTGACACTTTCTATTTTTCAAAAGGAGTAAGTAATTCATATACTGTCGTACAAACATCATGAATAATATTTCTCTTTAACTTTATTAAACTATTAAAAACTTATGCCTTATTAGCAATTCTCGCATGAGTATCAAGTTACTATTTTTTGCCATAGAATCCAAGGTTTAGGCTTCGTTCACATGCAATGTCTATTTTCTATTTTCTATTTTCTATTTGCGCTATCTTATGATCACGGTCTGTGCCCTGAATATCCCGCCGCGTAATTACTGGCAGCGCGAGCCAGTTACTGATAGTAACTTATAGCAACTGGCTCGCGCTGCCAGTAATTACGCCGCGGGATATTCAGGCCACAGACCGTGATCATAAGACATACCGCAAATAGAAAATAGAATTTAGAAAATAGACATTGCATGTGAACGAAGCCTTATTCTGTGAAAGTATGAAAAAATACTAAATATTGAACAAAATTTCAGTTTGTTAAATGATAACAAAATTATAATAATTGTGATCATAATTTTCCTTTTTACAGAAATGCTCTCAAAATTAACGTTAAAACGCACACCGTGTGGTTAACTTAAAATTAACCTTTACTGGTTCGTGCCAACCAAACAATAAGCTTTTAAGCTGTACCTTCAACATTCATAAAATCATAACCTGAAGTCACTTGAACATACCATAAATAAAAAAAAAAACAAAACAAGACAGAAACCGAGGACCTATTTTAAATGTAACGTTTTACGTGAAATTTTGATCGTCAATAATTTCCCAAGTTGCCTATTATTTTTAGAACTCTTGTTAATTTTACGAAATATCTAAAATAAAGGACAGAAAGATAAGAAAAGAGAAAAAAAATTAATGCATCAATTCATACCATAACAAAAGTTATGAAAGAATGTGGATCATCAAACATATTTCCATTTCCAGCAGGTTGAATAAGTAATTGAATTTCACATCATTGCCGCAGCTATGCAAAGATATGTTTCACCACAAAGAAACCGGAAGTATAGAACAAGACTTCGAAGGAGTACACCGTGTCAGGTACCACCCCATAACCTGAGTCGACACAGAGACATTGAATAAGACTGCGTTCCCATAAAACCGTCGTCCTAGCTGGATCGATCTAACTCCTCGGTCCTTTTCGTTTTAATGCTTGCAGTGTAATCAGCTTAATTGCATCGAGTAAATGGGGGGGGGGGGGGGGGGGGGGAAGGGGTCATTGACTACCGTCGAGGATGTGAATCGATTAGTAAATATTTATGAAAGCTTCTCTTAGGAGACTTTTAAGCCAGACTGTCGGAATACAAGTACAAGGCATGTAGATTCATAAAGTCCACACCCGCCACTACACCAGACAAACTGCCTGCGTGCCAGTTTGTAGCCCGTCGGTGAATAAAGATCTACATGAGCTACAATTGAAGTCGTTCCGTGTTTTCAAGCTGCTACCCGCTCAGAACTAAGTAACCAACCGGATTTCACAATCATACTGATTTAGGTGACATTAAAAAGTTCAAACTAGATACAGACTAGTGTTTCTGTGGAATGTAATTAGTGACCATTGTAGAATACCCAAGAAATTCCATTCAAGTGGCATGTAACGAGATTGTTACTTAATTAGTGCTGAATTACAATATAGAAAGAGGAAAGTATGATAAAAGGATGTATCAAAAGAAGGGAAATCAGAGAATAAATAGAAATGATCTGCCCGGAATATACAATGTGCCTCACTTTAAAGTAAATCTGTTAAAAAAAAATGTGACGTATGCAATGGAAACTTGATCAGCATTTTGGGAAGATAAAAGAAAGACCCGTTCTTTGGGCTGGACACCTTTTTCATTAGATTGCTCCTCTATTTCACTATTGTCTCATAAGAACCACCTGTATCGTCCGAGAAAAACCGAACTACAGGGAAAGAAGACTTATTCAGAAGGCGTACTCAGTTGTACCTGACATCTATCATCTAATAAAACTTGCTTGCCTGGATTGAAGAAATATCAGGACTTTGTTGTTCTTTGCCTACCTTAAAANGTCTCTTTTTGTGTGAAAGTGGTCCCAAATAAATAGATTCATCAGTGACGTCCAATTTAACATAAATTGAACAGTTGCAATTGACTTTGTGGATTATTATAAATTGCAAATGAATGAATGTATGAATAATAAAAAATAATTTGTTAATAGTTGGACATTGAGAGGATAAAGGTTAACCGCACAAACGAACCGAATATGTATAGAAGTTCAATTGAAAAAGAGAATGGGAAAATCAGTCTTAAATATAGGTAAAATAGATTTATAAATGTAAATAATTAATGAATGAAGTAAGTATTTAAAAAAAAAAACAAATATATTTGGATTCTTTCCATTTATTCATATATTCGGATCAACATATTCATTAAACCATGGGAAATTAAAGGCTACTAACTGTTTTAATAGTCGTCCTGTAATAAAGAATGACACATGTTTTTGCTGCTATCTATTTCTTTCTGTTCGTTGTACTCTTTAACTTCTTTATCTGCACGCTCTGGCTCACTGTCAGGTAAGTTGCGTATTATTTGACTATAAAATCATTCCATTAAATTAAAAAATAATATTAATCAATGTTCATTACTATATACACCTCTTTATCAAATAAAATTGGTCCTCGAATTTAACATAACGATATACATCTTTTCCACTGTAACCTTGACATGTATAAAACACAGACAATTATGCACATAATAGAAACTAATGGAGAAAGAAATTAACAATATAAAGCAATTATTTCTCAAAACTCATCAAGGGATTTAAAATAAGGACGACTTTGTCATTAACCTTCGTAGCAATTACTTAAACTATGAGCATGCTAATAAGCATAGGCTTAATTAAATAACATTTGTAAGAAAAAATAGTGTATATTCAATTTTAGCAATAATAATAATAATAATGTTCAAACGTCAAAGCAACAACAGTTCATATAAAATCCGTTCATCTCAGTCCAATACAAAAACATTCATTTGGATTCAATTTTCTGACACTTTCTATTTTTCAAAAAGAGTTAGTAATTCATATACTGTCGTACAAACATCATGAATAATATTTCTCTTTAACTTTATTAAACCATTTAAAACTTATGCCTTATTAGCAATTCTCGCATGAGTATCAAGTTACTATTTTTTGCCATAGAATCCAAGGTTTATTCTGTGAAAGTATGAAAAAATACTAAATATTGAACAAAATTTCAGTTTGTTAAATGATAACAAAATTATAATAATTGTGATCATAATTTTCCTTTTTACAGAAATGCTCTCAAAATTAACGTTAAAACGCACACCGTGTGGTTTACTTAACAAAATTAGCCTTTACTGGTTCTTGCCAACCAAACAATAAGCTTTTAAGCTGTACCTTCAACATTCATAAAATCATAACCTGAAGTCCCTTGAATATACCATAAATAAAAAAAAAAAACAAAACAAAACAAAACAGAAACCGAGGACCTATTTTAAATGTAACGTTTTACGTGAAATTTTGATCGTCAACAATTTCCTAAGTTGCCTATTATTTTTAGAACTCTTGTTCATTTTACGAAATATCTAAAATAAAGGACAAAAAGAGAAGAAAAGAGAAAAAATTAATGCATCAATTCATACCATAACAAAAGTTATGAAAGAATTTGGATCATCAAGCATATTTCCATTTCCAGCAGGTTGAATAAGTAATGGAATTTCAAATCATTGCCGCAGCTATGCAAAGATATGTTTCACCACAAAGAAACCGGAAGTATAGAACAAGACTTTGAAGGAGTACACCGTGACAGGTACCACCCCATAACCTGAGTCGACACAGAGACATTGAATAAGACTGCGTTCCCATAAACCCGTCGTTCTAGCTGGATCGATCTAACTTCTAGGGGCTTTTCTTTTTAATGCTTGCAGTGTAATCAGCTTAATTGTATCGAGTAAATGGGGGGGGGGGGGTCATTGACTACCGTCGAGGATGTGAATCGATTAGTAAATATTTATGAAAGCTTCTCTTAAGAGTCTTTTAAGCCAGGCTGTCGGAATACAAGTACAAGCCATGTAGATTCATAAAATCCACACCCGCCACTAAACCAGACTAACGAAAACATCAGTAGAGATAATCCATCTCACGACTATTCATGAAACACTGAAGAAAGACCAACTTACAGGAAAGCACAGTTTGCTTTAACAAAATTAGGTACAGAGGAATCTCTAAGTTATCTTGAAAGTCGGTGTTGGACGGTGCTACCTTAACTGGAGATGCAAATGTGACCATCGAGCCTTACAAGAATATACGGCACGCAGGAATCAGTACGATTCCCTATAAAAACTGGGCCTCTAAGATAGAAAGACAGAGACCCCGGGAGATCGTCGTGACAGTTCCTGCCTGCGTGCCAGTTTGTAGCCCGTCGGTGAATAAAGATCTACATGAGCTACAATTGAAGTCGTTCCGTGTTTTCAAGCTGCTACCCGCTCAGAACTAAGTAACCAACCGGATTTCACAATCAAACTGATTTAGGTGACATAAAAAAAGTTCAAACTAGATACAGACTAGTGTTTCTGTGGAATGTAATTAGTGACCATTGTAGAATACCAAAGAAATTTCATTCAAGTGGCATGTAACGAGATTGTTACTTAATTAGTGCTGAATTACAATATAGAAAGAGGAAAGTATGATAAAAGGATGTATCAAAAGAAGGGAAATCAGAGAATAAATAGAAATGATCTGCTCGGAATATACAATGTGCCTCACTTTAAAGTAAATCTGTTAAAAAAAATGTGACGTATGCAATGGAAACTTGATCAGCATTTTGGGAAGATAAAAGAAAGACCCGTTCTTTGGGCTGGACACCTTTTTCATTAGATTGCTCCTCTATTTCACTATTGTCTCATAAGAACCACCTGTATCGTCCGAGAAAAACCGAACTACAGGGAAAGAAGACTTATTCAGAAGGCGTACTCAGTTGTACCTGACATCTATCATCTAATAAAACTTGCTTGCCTGGATTGAAGAAATATCAGGACTTTGTTGTTCTTTGCCTACCTCATAACCCCCGTGTGACGGATCCCGAAGGACAATAAAACGCAATAAACAAAGAAGAAACCCACAAATAACCACCCCCCCACCCCCCCACCCACGTGACAAAAACAAACGATAGACAAATGTATGGTGTGTAACAAAGAAAGACTTTTGAAAAAAAAGTGTATATGGTATAACAATACATGTCTTTAAGTCCAAAATGACTGATACCAGTCATTTTGAGAGGGGAAAGGGAGGACTGTAAAGTACGCGTTGGCGCCCCTTAGCATGTCCCACGCCCCTAGGATGTCGCGGCGCCCCTTAGCATGTGCCACGCCCCTAGGATGTCGCGGCGCCCGCGCCTAGACTAGAAAGACTTATTATAAAGTCGTATTTAAATGAGACATGAAGGTAGATATAAAGGGAACAGGTGGTGGGTAGAGAGGGAGACTTAGGCATCGGCCTCCTTCGACGGCCACTTCATCCACTCTGCTTTGGACCACCACCAAGACAACATCATGAATGATTCTCTGCGACAGAGAAAGGACTCCCCGTGGGTTCCTCGAGGTACCATCATTCAAGGGCACCAGGCAACACCAGTGTGCAACACCACTCTGGAAGAGGCGCTGCCAGCCATAAGAGCGATTGCTCCAACACTACTGATTCTATAAGGTTGGATGGGCACCTTACCCAACCCGACCTCGGAGGTTGGCTGTCTCCTTCATCTGCTGTTCAGGGCACTAGGGACGATGGCTGCACATACTACACGGCAGAAGGCGAGGGTGGTCATTCTACCCTCTGTGCGCCTTAACTCCCCAGATCACGTGCGACAACTTATGAGGGCGGCTAATTTAATGCGGGACGTGGTCATTGTACGCCCGCGTTCCTTGGTTCCTTCGTGGTTCCGTTCTAGGGACCCGGAGGAAGTGGCCTTCCAATGTAGGGACGTGATGGCCGCCGCCCTACGTTTCCCACCTCCGCCACCCCAGGCGCGACTTCCGGCTGCAGCTAGAAGACGCACACCCAGAGGAACTCGAGACGACCCTCTCCTTGTCCCGTCCGAAGAAGAGTTAATTCACGATAAGGCGTCGTCCCCACCATCAACCTCAAGCAGATGGGCCAGACCAATGGGAGAACCTCAGCGGCCGGAACCTAACGCTCGCCCAGCGGGATTGTCCGATGAAGATTCTGACTTAGAAGAAGCTTACGAGCAAATCTAAATACACAAAATGAAAATAGAAGGCATGATTCCTATTCCCCTTTTTGGTAAAACAGAAAAATAAAAATAAAAAAAATTACGTCTGAAGATATCACCTGGTGTTGTGTGGACGTCAGAGTGCCAGCAACGACGAGAGCACGAGAGGGAGACTGAGGACTGAGGACGGCCGGGTCAATCAGAGCCTAGATCGAGGGAACGATTGGGTCACTGTCTTACCGTAGCGCTGTGCCTACCTAAGCTAGATGTCCCGGTATATGTAACGGGTTAAAGAAATAAACAGTATTAATAGAGAAACCTATCGTATACTGTTGCTTCATTCTTATACTGTTGTCCTCAGAAAACCGCGCGCACACGCAATACCACCGGCACCATCCCCGCTACATAGATTTAGACCGATAAAAGAATAATTGCGGAACGAAGAAAATGGGAATAACTTCTATCACAGTGGTTTTATCTATTTGTCATAATTATTTAATTTATGCATGATGATTTAAAGAATTAAATGAAGAAGGACAGGAATGTTGTCATTGTAAGGGACGCGGGACATGTGTGAAAAATAAAAAGCTATATGATCTACGATTAAAGTTGTTCTTCATTTTTTTACGAGCCGCGGTTCCATAAAAAGTAGTAACCAACAAGGTTACAAGGTAGTGGAGAACACAGCTGATTCCTCCTCCCGCAGCTGAGACGACATCAACGTGCCCGCACGTTCTCCAGGCCCAAAAATTATTGGTCGACGCCATCCGCAAACACGATACACAAACGACTCGGTGGACTTCAATGGCGTAACCCCCCCCCCCCTTTGTTAGATAAAGTATAAGGTAGAGAAAGTATTACATGGTCGGTATTGAAAGACCACGTTCAAAGATCGTTTCTTTCCTGCAACGAAAATGAAAGACTTAAGACCTTTGTCATCCATTTTTACCCAGTGGTGTAGTAGTCTGGGGCGATGCCTCACATCCACCTTGGCCAAGACAGCACGTGTGTCATCCAAGAGACCGGGCAAAAACTGGACAACACCATCAGCGAATACTAAACAAATAAAAAGTGAGCGAAGCAACGTAAAAAGAGGGAATCACTAGATGCAGTTTGAATTTCTTCCAGATATGCGAAGGCACACGAAGGTAATTGAATCAATGAAAGGCGTCAAAAACATCTACAATAAGAAAGAAAAGGAAAGCTACATTCGAGGGGAAATGAGGAAGGGAGAGAGAGAGAGTGGAATTTAGACGTACAGACGGGAACACGTAGTGGATTAAACTATAACACGCTAGTGTTACACACTTCGTCTCTGTTTTTAAATCAAACTAAAATTACGGAAAGGGAATTTAACATGGTAGTGTTTAGTCAGGTGCAATTAGTCCTTTGCTTGTATATATAAGGAGCTTTTGTCCCATCTCTGCCACAACTTCTTGTTGCTATATCACGGGAACCACACGCCTCCGACTCGCAGCTATGGACACCTTGATACTTGGGGATTCCGACCTCCGAAGGCTCGTGCGAGCTATTGACCGTGAGGAGGTCCCGGAACTGGTGAATGCCGGTACGGTACGCTATCGGCCGGCGCCCCAAGGCCTTACCCAGGAGGCCTTGGAGGACCTTACTGGTACGGTGTTGCAGGCTGGCCCGCATCTGTTACTCTTGGTAGAGTGGCGACCGATAGACAGAGGAACCAGGTCAGTCGCCTTGTTATTGGCAACTCTGTTCACAATGATGCGGACCATGAGCATGCCGCTGCCGAATCAAGTAGCTCGCGTCGTTATCCTGCCTTCACCTGCATGTGATCAGGCAACTAGGGACGAACTACTGCGGGCGCAATCTGCCTTCCATGGCCTAGTAGTGCGGTCCCCGCTCTGCCGCCCAGGCGTCCCTGCGGCGCTTCTGGGAGGCTTGCAGGCTGCCATCGATGCTGCGACCATGGTCCCACGAAACCGACGTCCTTTGTCCCGGTCCCGGAGTTCGTGGCCAACCACAAGACGCATGCTTACCAGACCATCCCTTTCGCGACCGCCCCCGTCGGATAGCGCAGATGAAATGTGGGATTAAATTAAGCTCCTTCCTTTTTTTTGAATAAATTGGCTGCGCTTGCCATTTGAAGTTCACCACTCTTGTTGTATTTCTTTCTTTATAGTTTTTGTTTTTCCTAGGGTTCTTAGTTTTGGCCGGAGGCCAAACTTCTCGCGGACGGAAGGTCATATAACACGGT